GTACTTGTCAGCCCAGAGATAGGCCTTGCCCGTGAGGGGCATTTCCACGCTGAACTGCGCCTCGTCCGCACCCATCCCCTCCTTGGCCTTACGGAAGAAGATGTCATCGGCGCTCTCGGTGGCGTCGCCTGTAGGGAGGAGAAGTGACACCGGGTCCTGCCGCGGGGACACTGGGCCCAGACGCGCGGAGGGAAGGAGCAGCAGACGCTGCGCGGGGGATGTGGAGCGGGACAGAGATGTGTGTGCTGCCCGGTGGGCTCTGGGTGGGCACCAGGCTAAGCTGTGCTGGAAAACTCATCCAAAACGCTCTTCCCGCTTGTCCACAGCCCCAGCAGCCTGGTGGCATGGCTGGGAGCGGGGAGGGACCAATGTGGGCACCCGCGGGGAATGTTGGGCTGTGAACTCCATCCCCCTGCTCTTGCCTGGGTCACCCATCTCCCAGGCCAGCTCTAGACGTGTGCTCCAGCTCCAACCCACCCTTGTCTAAGGGCAGCGTCCCCCTCCAGCCCCGCACCCCAAAGCCCGCGCACACACCCCCCCACACTCCCTCCCTGTGCCAGGGCCGGCGGGCGCAGGGCCTGCCCGGGGGGCTCCTACCTGTGACCTGGAGCTGCTGGCGCAGGAGCAGCAGCCGGTGCGTGTCCTCCTCGGCCTCCAGCACGTGGGCGTCAAAGGGCAGCTCGTTGGTGCCCAGCAGCCGGGGGCTGTACTTGCCCGCGTCATAGTCATCCAGGCTCTGCTGGATCAGGTCCTCCTCCATCAGCACGGCTTCCCCCTCCGCCTCTGCTTTGGCCTCTGCATCCTGCTCGGCCTCAGGCTCCAAGGATGGCCCCGGCTGTACCACAATGCTCTCCTCTGGATCCAGCCTGCAAGGAAGAATCCTCTCAGCTGGTAAAGCCCCTGCAGCTCCTCCAGCCCCACCATGACCCTCCCCCTGACCGTTCCCAACTCCCCCAGACCCCTCAGCGCTGGCTCAGCCCGACTCTTCAACCCCCCCAGGGATCCCGGGGACTCCCCCCTGCCCTGGGCAGCCCATTCCAACGCCCAACAGCCCCTTCTGCACAGAAATCCTTCCTCAGAGCCAGCCTGACCCTGCCCTGGGCAGCTTGAGGCCATTCCCTCGGGGCCTGGCGCTGGGGCCTTGGCTCCAGAGACTCATCCCCCCTCTCTGCCCCCTCCTGGCAGGGAGTTGCAGAGGCCCAGAGAGACAAGAGGAGCGGGACGGGGATGGTACCCTTGTTCTCTGCTCAGCTGAGGTCTGTCTATGGAAGGACAGGAGCACAAGGCTGCATTTTCTGTCCCAGGTGCCCCACAGGAGACCCTGATGGCTGCGCTCCCCGATGCTGCGTACCTGTCGCTGGGGGAGGATGGCTCCCGCTTAATGATGGGGAAGAGCGGTTCGCTCTCCACACCCTGTTCCTGCTTCAACTTGTACAGCTTCTGGCGCAGCACGTCCTGGTGCCGCTCCCGCAGCCTGCAAAGGGAAGATGAGCTGTCCGGTCTCGCCCAGCAGAACCACCCCATGCCCACACTGCTCAGAGGTGTGACACCCACCACACTGGGTGTAAATCTGCTGGGGTTTGTACAGTTTTGGATTGAATAACCCTGCAGTTCAGTTCCCTCTTGGATACCCCGCTGTAAACACTGCCACTGAAGAGGGGACCGAGTGTCCAGCCCTCCTCTCCTCTTGGGAGAACCAACCATCTTGGAAAACTCCACCAATGACTCTGGGTTCGCGCCTCCCCAACGCTGCTCACGGCAGAGTCTGTCATTCCACAGCCCTGTCCTGGGGACAGTCCCTGCTCTCACCTGGCCCGAGCCATGTAAGCCTTCAGCTGCTGCAGTAGGCTCTCCCAGTACCCAATGTCAAGGTTGGGTCCTCCTGCCCGGATCTTGCTCTCGATGCCCTGGTACAGCACCTGCAGCTGGTTGTACGTCTTCCCTTTGAACACGGACTGCACGTCCGAGCTGACGGAAGCGTTGACGCCATCCCGACGCTCCCCTGCACAGGCAGGCAAGGGCAGTGGGTCAGCCTCTGAGCACCCAGCCTGCCTTCACCCAGGCCCTCCGGTGCTGCACCTGACAGCGAAGGCCAGACCCCAGCCAGGGGACGGCTGCCAGATGCACAGCCTCCATCCAGCAGATCCCAGAGAACCCCTCTGAGCCCGAGCGCACGTGGCAGACCCTGCACCCCACTTCACTCGCAGCTCACGCTCCCCCTGACACCCACACCATGCTCTGCTCTCCCACTTACCTGGGCCTCCTTTCCCCGAGGCCTCCAGTTTGCGGAGCTTGGCTATCTCATCCTCCGTGATGATGGTCATGTCCCTCCAGAAGTCCACGTTCTTCCCTTGCTCCAGCTCCATGTAAACCTGGGGGCAGGAGGCAAGCGGGACATCAGGCACCTGCTCCATGCCACAAGCAGAGAAGCAGAGCTGGGGCGGGGACAAGCCTTCAGCTGCTGCCCCTCAGCCAGCCCTGGCACAGTGGGAGCAGCGCTGGCACCTGGATGTCCTCCACCAGATCTTCCATGTCAGAGACAGTCAGGCCGTTCAGGAAAGTGTAGGGCTCGTGCATCTCCACAGCCAAGTCGTCGTCCTCTGCACTGATGTACTTGGCCAGAAGATCAATGGGTTTTGCTCTCCCATCCCGAATCCGGATCTTGGACCTGGGCAAAAGAGGGACAGTGAGCAGTCCCTGCCACCCTCTACTCCCCAGCAGCCGCGTCCCTCTGAAGCCACACACCTACCGCAGCTTGGCCTGCTGCAGGTGGAAGTTGTCCTCCTGCTCCTCCCAGGTTTTGAAGTGCTCTGCCTCCTTCTCCCGCTGCAGCATCTCCAGCTCCTGCTCCCGCATCGCCTTCTCCCGCTCCCGCTCCAGGCGCAGCTGCTTCACCTGCCCAGGGCAGAGGAGGGAGATGTGAGGCCGCCGCAGATGGGGCACCCACGCAGGACACCCATTTGAGGACACAGCTGTAACCCTGCTTGCTGAGCTGCCTCGGCTCCTGTTATCAGCCCAAGGCTCCTAGGGGGCCAGGAGCCACGTGGAAGGAGAGCCGGCATGGGCCAGTGGGGCCAGGCTGCCTGCCGCTCGCTGCCAGCCCTTTGCAGGACAGGGGACACAGGCACAACTGAGTGCCTCAGTGCCACAACCTGGCACTTGTCCTCAGCACCTGCTGAGCTAGACTCAACCCCAAGAGAAGAGTCTTTTCAACCCGGAATAGCAGAAGTCATTGTCCTGCGGTTCCCCTGATCCTACATCCTATGGGCACCCCCAGTGAGAAGAACAAAGGGACTTCCAGATTAGTGACTGGAAGAACTGGGCTGTCCACAGGGTTCTCTGTCAGACAGTGGGAGGGAGGGGACATCTGATCCCACCTTCTGCAGCTCCAGGCGATTGTCCTCCTGGATTCGCTTGTTCCTCTCCTTCAGGTCCTTCTCATCCAGGTGGCTGATCCCCTTCTTTTCCAGCGCCTGAAATAGAGGCCAAGGGAAGCTGTAAAACCCAGCAACCTCTACAGCCCCTCACAGGCCAGGGAATACCACCACACCCACCCACTCCTGCCGCTGCAGCAAGCTCTGATCCTGTTGAAGGTCCCCAAATGGCTCAAATCCTACTCCTGGAGCACCTCAGCAAAACCCAGGCTCCCCGACCTGGGGAGCAGTAATGCAGCAGTAAAAGCTGCCCAGCGCTCAGGGTCCCTCTTCTGCACCCTGACCCACCTCCTTGCCCCACACCCCCTGGCTACAGACCTTGGTCTTCAAGAGAAAGGGGGTAAAACCCCACTGAGCTTGTCAGAAACACCCAGCTGCTGTCCTAGATGAGTGCTTTGCTCTCATGTGGCTGCTTTTAGTGTCACAGAGGTTCCCACCTCAAGCAAATGTCCCCGCACAACGCCCCATTGCTCCTGTCCTGTTCCATGGTGGCCACAGGGGCCCAATCTCCTTCAAGCCATCTCCTACAACACGTGGATGTGGAGGAGAGCTCACCTTGCTCCAGATGAAGGTACCCAGCAGGTTGTTGTCCCCAAAGGGATTGTCGGTGTTGGTGTAACCCATGTACTCCTCTCCCCACCCCATCTTCTCCCTCTTCTTCCTCTCCTTGGCCTCCTTCTTGGCCAGCCGGCGAGCCCGTTTCTCCTCAGGTGTCTCCAAGGCTTTCATGAGTGCAGCCTGCTTCTTCTTCTCCTCCTTCAGCCTCAAGCGCTCCTGGAGGCTCAGCTGTTGTCCTGTCTCCTCCCTGCTCTGGGATCGTGGCAGGGAAGGAGAGCTGACAGAGGACACAGAAGACCTGGAGCCATCTCTCCTTCGCCGCCGCTCTCTGCTCCGGGCTCTTCGCTTGTCTCGCTCGCGCTCTGAGCTCGAGCCAGAGGAGCAACCCCGGGACCGTGAGCGGCATTTCTTTTGGCTTTTATGGTGTTGGTCCCTGCTTTTGCTTTTCTTCTTCTTCTTCCATTTCTGCCTCTCATCGCCAGAGTCAGAGCTGGGGTGGGGGGAAAATCGTATTTCAGTTGGCAGATGGTTACCGGCTCTGTGTCAGACTCCAGAGCGCATTTCCCTGCCGCAAACGTGTCAAAAACCAACCTAAGCCGCTGCTAGAGCTACCAGCAGACCTGAGAAAGCTCAAATGCGCGTTCATGGAGGTACCTGCTCCCCTCTACCACCCCCATCCCCCCCGAAAAGCCCCAAACGGGCTGGTTTTGTGGTACGAACAGCATTTTTCAAACCCCTCACCAGCCCAGGTGTATTCAAGCCTTCCCCGGTCCCTGCCCGTGGCACAGCACGGGCCCGGCGCTGTCTCT